CTATTTGCTATAATATCTTTATTATTATTATTGCTACTATTATTTAAGCATCTTTAATGAACTGTAATTCCATTGATCTTACTTTACGAATCGATGTCATTTAAAAAGGCCAAAATTGTTACTGACTACTATTCTAGAATACTCTAAGTATATGAACATATATATAATTGTAAAGCCAGAAGAGGAAATTATCGAAAAGGATATTCTTTGCTCAATTATTTTGTGTCTTAAAGAATTAATAACCGAATAGTGTTTTGGGCACAATTTATTGCTCACAATTATATCAAGTTTGTAACGTGACCACCATCATGATGCACATTAGATTGTTGCTACATGGTCGGAGGTAATCGGTAAGAGGCCTTGAACCTATTTTTCGTGATTGTCGGCACTTGTCTGCAACCTTCACTGGCAGAATTCAGTTTGTACTAAACGAAGGACTAGATGCATGACAACATTTACTGTCTAGTGTCGAAAGCATCCATTACAGTCCCACAGGAGGTCGATCGCCAGCCGAAATAGCTGAGTAGCAAAATCTCTGACTATAGCACTAGATGTAGTGGATTTAGACCTCAGAGGAGACATGAGTCCCATCAAGGTTGCAGATACACGCCTTGCTGACTGATGAGTGCCTACAAGCAAGAAACGTAGATCCAAGACTCCGTGCTAATTGCCTTTGATTTATCTAACAATTCAATTTATAAATTAATATCCAGAAAAGTTAGTTAAGGAAGTGAAGCCAAACGATCAGGTTATGCAGCTACATTGATTGAGATGACTAGGGAACGTGTTACGAGTGGTCAAACTAAAAAGTGGCATCAATCAGCCCATGAAGTCTTTAGCCGTTGGTTTAAGCCATTCACGTAGGTAGGTGTAGACTAGAACATAGGCACACTTACCGGCACCCAACAATTGCAATATTTCTTGACCTGAAAGTGGCACTCGATTTCGTCAACCGAGAGGTACTATGGCGATGTTTGGCTGAGAAAGGAATGCCGAGAAAATATATCGCACTGATCAAGGCACTCTACTCGAACTCATGCAGCCAGGTGAGAGCTTACGGCGAGTTGTCATCTGAAGTGGTAACAACTAGTGGTGTCCGACAGGGATGCCCACTATCCCCATTTCTATTTAATTTCACCATAGGTGTACTAATGGACTTAACCTTAAGTGACTTCAGCAACTCAGGCATTGTTATCACCAGGGAATAATCTCGTTGATTTAGAATATGCAGATGATATATTCCTGTCTCCTTGGTGAAGACGCTGACAAAATCTAAAGTCTTCTAAACACCTTGAGCAGCAATCTTCGAATATTTGGCATGCGATTTGCTCTCATCAAATGTCAGGTGATGCTGTAGGACTACTAGACTACATTGACTCCTAGCTTAAAGATACGGAGTGAAATGGTAAAGCATGTTGACTACTTCACTTATTCGGTAAGTTGCATCAGCCGGCTCCAGGGCGTTGATCGCTGACGAAATCTCAGCACGGATATATAAGGCTCGTTTGGCATACGCCAACTTACGCCATCTCCGGCGTAGACATGATATCCGACTTGCTATCGATCAAAGGATGTGCGTACTGCTCAGCAGTCCGTTCCGTCCTCCTTTATGCCTGTGAGTGAGACCTGACCACTGAAAGTGGAAGATACGAAAAGGCAGGCTAGTTGTCTTTGGTCATAGGTGCTTGCCTTCTATCTCCCGTGTGAAGTGGTATAATAGGGTGAGCAATATTGATGTTAGGCGTCGAGTACTAGGTAAGGAGGAGAAATCAATCAACGAGGCTGTGAAGTTACATCGGCTGAGATGGTTAGGACATGTGTTACGTATGCTTAGTCATCGCCTTACTGGACGAGCGATGTTAGTTGACACAGGATGAATCAGGTTGAAAAAGAGCTAGTGGTGGTCAAACCAAACCATTGCTTAATCAGTCAATGAAATCCACAACATTTAGATGGGGTCCTCGGGACGGTAAAAACCAATGGTTGGAAACAATTGGTGATATGGCTCAAAATAGTTCTCCATGATGGCGCATATGCATCCACTCCTTGTGACTTATGATTTCCAATAAAACTATAATGTCCTTCCATATATTACTGTTCTTTTTGCCTCATATCTCTGTTGATTGTCTCTGTTTTACATTTCTTCTTACTTTCTTCTCTTGCTTTGTGTCCTAAGTGTGGCGATTCGAACTGCTGCGCATCGGTGCAAAGTAGTTCTACGTTGAAACCAGTCAGTCAGTCAATCAGTCAGGTGTAGACTGGCTGGTTGGGATCCTCAGGATACTACGAACAAGTGGCTGGAGACGATTGTTGGTGGCATGGTTAAAAATCGTTCTCAATGGCTCAAAATGTAGTCACTCTTTACAATCTCATCGAACCATTATATCCTCATCTCCTTCAATGTTACTATTTCTTCTCTTGAATCTCTTTTCTTTCCCCGCTATTGTGTGCTAAATGGAATGTGACAACTTGGACTGTTGATGCTGATTTATTTTATTTTTTTATTTTGATTTACAGCTTGATTCCACACCGTATTTTTAGTACAAGTATGGAATTTTCAGCATGGATATCGGTAGCCCAAATTCAGGCTGACCATAGATATCGGGTGTGCGCCCGCAGGGGATCGAACTCCGGACCATGTGCATGGTCGGCGAGAGTCCTAACCACTGTGCTGCTGCTACTCTTGTTTGCAAAGTTCTATGTTGAAACTCAATCGGTTAGCTAATTAATAGCAGCCAAATGACAATGTTTCAGTACTCTGCATATACAATAATAATAAAAACATCTTTGCTAAACGAATTAATCTAGGATATATTAATATCGAATCAACAACTGAATTTTTAGAAAACAGAAAAATTGAGCAGCGAAGAAATATTTACTTTTCAATTAGATCCTCATCCCTCTCTGGCTCTACTCTAATATATTATGTATAGCATTTTTATTACAATACACAACAATTTAACAATCAAGTGGCACTGATTTCTTTGTTAACAATAATTAGTTAGTGTCAAAAGGTTTAGGGGCAGGGGGGAGCGAAGTAGTCCGGTTTATACAGTCATGTAACGATGGCCAAGGCAAGGAAAGTGGCTATATAAATTTCTTCTGAACACACAGGTTTGGTTTGTTCTTCAGGTGGAGTCCTATTGCTTCAGCTGTTGTATATAGAAGACGAACTCGTAGCGCAAAATTAAGATTAGTCTGAGTGCGATAAATAATTTTAAATGCTGTATTAACATCAACCTTATGCTCACTGTCTACCAGGTGTGCTAAAATATAGCTACGAATAGATCTTGTTTGCCCCTTGTTTAACCATGTTGGATGATGTTCGAAAATACGATGATGAACCTGCCTAATTCTACGCCCAATGTAGCTGGCTCCGCAGCTGCAGTCAAACTGGTAGATACACATAGAAAAGGCAAATTTAGGTAGTTTATCCTTATTTGTCGAATGTAGAATAGGGGTGGTTGCGAAGAGACAACGAACCTCTGCTGCATAATAAGCTCTTTTAACTGTATTCTTTAGGCGCTGTGTTATTATTTCACTGATGTTGTCACTGAGGAACTGCAGTTCTATGAACATTGGTTTTTTCGGAACTGTTGCTATACTGACTCTCCTTGGTGATGAATTCATAATTTCCTCAATGAATTTATCTGGATAACCATTTTTTCTAAGTAATTCTCCGGTAATCTTAAGCACCTCATTGAGGCAGTCGTCTGAACAGATTAACCTAGCTCTATGAACCAGATACTTTACCACGTTACATTTATATTTCAAAGGTACAAAACTCAAAAAATGAGTGTACTGACTTGTTGTTGTAGGTTTCCTATACACACTCCTTCCTTGATTGGTAAATTGTTGTGTATTGTAATAAAAATGCTATACGTGTATATTAGAGTAGAGCCAGAGAGGGATGAGGATCTAATTGAAAAGTAAATATTTCTTCGCTCAATCTTTCTGTTTTCTGAATGTCTTAATGGGGATTTTTTTCTAAACTGATTTTTTGCATAATTACTGACACCAATATTATTAACTTTAAAGAATAAACCGTAAAAAGAAAACAAGCGAAGAAAGATTACCGATAACTTTGAGCAAAGCATCCAGATAAACAGGCAGATGATGTTTGAGAATGAAATTAAATATGACACCGATTACAGTCATAAAGAACAACGGGTTTTTGAGCACATTGAAGAGAACCTGGGGGAAAGAAATTTAAAAAATAAAAATTGTTTATTGCTTATTTAAACACACACACAAACTTTGCACATTGTGGAAACCAAGAGATTCGCCATACAAAATTGTATCGTATATGTATGGGCTGGAGATACTGCTCGGACGCCCAGATCAAAGCAGATGGTTTTCTCAAGGAGCCACCCCACGAGCCTTTAACTTGAAGACTGATCTACAAAGCAGTGGCACTGTGTTCTCATGGTTCCCAGTGACCGAAACAGGCTTATATGCGATTCGATCCTTTCGGATTCTGGAGTCTATTTATACCATAGGTTTCAAAATCCGGGTCTCCAGATCCCTTACGTAGACCTGCAGGTCCACCAATCCGGTTGTAAGTGACAGATGTTCGGATTCGACCCTACACTTTTGTGAGGAACAGCTCACGCTGCTTACAGTCATTTAGCAGTAAATGGAACAAAACGTGCACTTGCGGGAGCAAGTACATTGGAAGGACAGAAAGAAGGGCTTCTATTCGGTTTTCTGAACATATTCCAGTAAACCTATGCCTGAAAGGAAGCAAATATTTTCAGAGTGCAATTAACAGACATATTGTTGATAACGGACATCTCGTAGAGATTTCTAAGTCCTTCAAAATATTAAATAGACAAAGGACAGCAAATTTACTACGATTTTCAGGAAGCGATCGCAATCAAACGACTTAAACCAGACTTGTGCATACAGAAAGAGAGTGTGATTAACCTCTCACTCCTTTGGTAACTGAATTTTGATTTTGATTACAATAATTAGTCATCTAATTTGGTGATCTCAACTCACTGAATAAATCTTAATCTCATAAACTGTAACCGCCTTTGTTTTTTGGAGTTGCTATGTGAACCTACAAGCTAACACTGTTTCTGTTAATCAATTTTTCTGTTTTCTGTCTTACCCCTCCCCCCTCTTTTCAACTCTGAAAGTGCATAAATTGATGATGATAACTTAAACTAAAAATTTGTAATGCTTTCATTCTTTTTTGGATGTGTCAATTTTATCTCTTCTCTACTACTACTCAAACATTAAAATATGTTATTATCGTCTATATAACCATTGTAATTTCAGGTAGTCAATGGCAGCTGATGAGAACCTGTGAAATAGAATGATGATATCACTTTATACTGCAAATTTCGTCTTCCTTTCTTTATCGAAATGTATCAAGGGAACCAATTGTATGAAAAACGTATACTTTATAACGCATTTAAATGGTGCTTCTAAAAAGTATTTGAAATTCAGGCACATCATTATATTTCCCATTATTGAAATATGTATTCACCAGTAATGAATGGAAAGACAACCCAACTCAGGAAAGTGGTTTCACGCGTCATTCGGGCCCTCGAGTAGAAACCACACGAAAAACGAGTTGGGCGCCCAACGATGAAATGGGGAAGTTGCGTGAGGAGGAGGAGCCAACATGAAAAAACCCACAGAGGACGGGGTGAAATAGAGATGTGCCACTGAAGCTGTTTGCTGTACTTCGAACGTAAGAAATAAATAATAATAGTAATTTGAACTCGTAATAACACTGGCGTTTGAGGTGATAGTTTCTGAGTTTCGAATCTCAGTGGGAACACATCACCACTCACTGGAGAGTAATTACATCCAGCTAAGTTAGTTGTAGACAGAATGAAACCCTTGTTGTGGATTTTACTGTTAGCTATCACTACTAAAACAAGCAATTTCTAACCTAATTGACTGTTTATCTGAAGATCTGAGATTTGGCTCTTGGTTAATGTGGGTGGTTGAAATTGATTCGACTCTCTCTCTGTCTCTGAGCTCAGTCAAACCAGACAAGCCATTGATGGGTTCGGCCCCAAGAAAGAGTGAAGCGGCCGTCCCATTGTTGTGAACCAGCAGTATTTACCATTATGCATTGCTGATTTTATGTTAGTGAAAACGGTATAAGAAGTTCAACATAACTCTTATTGAAGTCAAACTCCACACATTTTAGTAGCCTAGTTCGCTTTCTTGTGCTCCAATACTTTTGACACTCCCAAAGTGTGGATAAACATCTATCCTGCAGTCATTTATTCGTCTATCTTTGATGAGACATCGTGACCAGCGGTAACCACTGAGTCACGTAAGAGGACAGTTACTCACCCATGATATTGGCTGGCAGTTGCGCTATATAATATCACAACTTAGCAGAAGTTGAAATTCATGGGCCACTGGACTGGGTCTCAGTGGCTGAATGCTCTACGAGTTCACCTTGTAATCTGAAGGCCCAGAGTTCAAATCCCGGTGGGTGTGTACGGCTGAAAAGTCTCAAGTTGGGATGAAAACAGCTGTCCAGTACTCTCTGGCTTTCCAACGGTTCTCTACACTAACTTATGACGGATAGTGACATCACCCCACAGCTAGTTAGATTGAAGTAGGTGACACGGGATTCGAACTCAGGATTTGTTGGCTGAAAGCCGAGTGATTAATTCGATAAGCCATGGGATATCCCTATATTAACTCACGTAATGTGTACAAGGCGTTAATATTTTACCGGATGGATAGAACTCCTGAGTCAGGAGCAGTGTCAATATTTCAATTAGTTTCATTATATCAATCAATAACCGCCGGTTTCACATCACATGTTACCCAGTTAAAAGAAAAGTGCAATACAAAAAGAAACAAACAGATAAAAAAATAGTTTTACCTTTGCAAATTGACGAAATCTACTGCTTCGTGAAGGTGTTAAACTAGAACTTGTTCCACTGATGATCTTCTTCTCTTTTCTATCTCTAGCCACTAAAGGGGTGCACTCTTCATCAGTCGACTTAACTCGTTCCAATTCCAAAAGGAAATAGGCGAAGGGATTAAGGACAACTAACTGGACAGGGGCGAACAGGTATACATAACTAGCCAAATCTGGGAAAAGAGCATTGACTAAAAACACAAGGAAAAGAAGGGTGAAGAAGAAGAATAGCAACAACAAAATAGTTGAAATGAAATTCCAAAAATATTCGATTAAAATCTGCCTTAAGGAGTGATTTCACACTTATGAAGAGTGATTAAGAACAGTCTTTTTTTTAACTCCAATAGCATCAATACTGAGTGTTCCCGGCTCATGACACTCCACACACTGGGGTACCTGGCCTTTCTCACATGCTCTAGTGGTGTTCTCGTGACGTTTTGTTGTCAGATCTATCAAGGGAGATAGAATAATGGGCAACCTAATAGTTGTGTGCAAAGTTTGAAGAGGGCTTTAAGCTGTATGCAGACGTACCACCCTGATAATATGGCATCCGTGGTTCAGTAGTAGAATACTCGTCAAACATGAACATCGTCCGGGATCCGATCCCCTGCAGACGTACCCCTTAATCTCGCTCAGCCAGCGGTAGACCCAGTAAAGAGGGTACGTTTGGCATGGGGTTAGTAACCCCACCCCCACCCCATGAGAAATAAACACTTCTGTTACTGGAACTTCTAAAGCTTGAAGCCCTTATGTTCCAGTGGGAAACCAAAAGAATAAAACTGATAGCTACTACCTTGACTTCGTGGTCAGGCTAACACACATATATCAGTGACCATACGAATGTCCCCGCAGGTCCTAACATGCCAAAAAGGTCGCCTGGAAAACGATTAAGCTAAAAGCAATTACCAACACAGTGTAAGTTGCTGACAATATGTGAAGATTCTCAGGGCAAAGCTGTTTTGTCAGCGAATACGACTGTACCGGTGTATTAAGGTGTTTCCTTCAGAAGACCAGCTTGTCAGCTACATTGTCCTCCCTATCTCTATCTAGGTAGGGGTTGGTTTGAAAATCTCAACCCTAAAAAACTGTACATCCCAACTTGCACTGTGGCCCAGTGCTACAGTCTGCATATGAACACAACTCCAAAAACCAGTTCACCTTGTTGTTCCTATATCTGTAAGAATATTGACAGACTCTAAACTCTTTTCTGACAGCCTAACTTAAGTCGAGATTATTATTATTTCCTAGAAGAACATACGGCTTCAGCCGCACGTTTCCATTGAGTTCGGTTCTTTGCTAAAGTTTTCACCTGACTCCAAGTCTGTCCACACGTTTTCATCTGCCCTTCACATGACCTCCTCCAAGTCACCCTTTCACTGACGACCAACTCACCGCTTCCCTTTCGGGTTCTACTCGAGCGATGGCCTGGCGTGTAATGCCACTTGATGGTTTATTTTCTCAGAGTATGACCAATCCACCTCCATTTCTTCCCGCTTATTTGTTGCACAGTCGGTTTCTGCTGGGTTTGTTTGCTCATTGCCAGAGATCCCTCCCTAATGCTGGTCTTTTCTGGCCGGCCATCTGATCTTGAGTATTGAGCGAAGACAACTGTTAATGAAGGTCTGTAGTTTGTTCGAAGTGCTCTTTATGACGCGTCAAGTCTCCGATCTGTATAGTAGCACTGACTTCACATTGGAGATGAAAATCCGGATCTTATTTTTCATGCTGAGTGCAACTTGAGTAGTGATGCATAATACTCTATATGTGATTCCACTACATATCAAATAATAGTTGCATTCAATCACCTAGTATGGCCACTTATACAGTTAACTTCGAGTTATACTCCCTGAGGCTTATGAAACTAACCACAAAACTTCTCCATTACTGTTACTTTCAAAGTGTATAATATGAAAGGTATTCACGAAAGACACAATTACCAATAATAATCTCAGATTTTTTTGTTAGATTACACAATAAGTACTATCAGAGAGAGTAGTTCAAATTGACTATTCAACAAATTTAACCATTGTTCATATGAATCTATACAAAAATTCTTGCCTGGCTAGAGTTTAGAAATAACTATCAGTAAATATTTTCATAACAATAATTTTTTTTCAAAGCAAAATAACTCTGTGTCGGGTAACATTGCTGGACAAGGCAGACGGTTGCTTGGTGTGCCTAACACCGTATCCTACCCAACTAAACCGTCGTAACTATGCAACCTTATTGATTGACTTGCCCTTCTTACCTAACAGTTTACGTCCAGCCTCATTGCTAATCACCATATGATAACAGTTAACATCGCCTATGATCAAAGAAAGCTAAGCTTTTCATATCTTCTACTTTCAGCGACCACGTCTCTCAACCATACAGAAGGACAGAGTGAACTGCTGAGCAGTACTACACGACAGAGAAAACGTAAGTTGGCAAGGTCACATGAAGATTTTGTATCCTTTGATGAGATTCCTTCAGAAATCAGTCCATCAAGATTATTGCAACTTCCGAATAAATGAAATGGTCAGCATACTCAACCAATTTTCTCTCTCTTTACGTTTAAGCTAGGAGTCGGCGCACACCACTCGTGTAGCATCATAATACACTTGACAAGAGCGAATCCCATGCCGACAAAAAAAATATAATTTCTGCTTAAGAAAATTTTGCATTTTATCAACGTCTTTGCCTAAAAGAAACACTATCATCATTCGCATATTCTAAATCGATGAGATTATTTCCCGGTAACAAGCTAAATTCTGACGTGATAAAGTCAGGTAACGGGTGATATCCGATAGTATGTAAAATGAGAAGTCAAATGACAATTTAAAGGATTAAGTTTTTTTCGCGTCGACTAGGTTGCTTAGACTAGCCACTTATAATATCAAGTTGAGATACTATTTTATAAAGCCTTTTAACACATCATTTGAAGGTGACAAGCAATCAAGTTGGTAGAGAGAGGTGTCTGAAGTGTAACCAATAGCATTTCTAACAGGCCACTGCAAACTTTCATCATCAATAGCTGCCCATATCGTTCAGTGCTGAAGATCAGCTGCTTGGCCAGAAAAGCTTGGTGACAAGGAACTCTGACAGGCAACGAACCAACCCAACTAACAAATATTGCCAGGAAGATGAAGATGGATAGTAAACACACTGAGGAAAGCGTTAAGTGGTATCGCTCGCCAGCCCATCGAGTGCAATCCGAATGGGAAAAGCCGAGTTTGGCATCCGAAAGTAACACGAAGGAGATTGTGCGAGGAGGGGAGATGACAGCTTATAGGCAATTGTGAAGTCAGCTAAGAAGAAAACTGCAGAGAATGGGATTTTGATAGCTATGTGTACTGTTGAAGGCTTATATGTTTCACTTGGAACCCAAGGGAATATTTTATTATTAATAATAAATATTGTCCATTAGAAACTTTCCTGTTCGTGCGTCGGTGGCACAGTGGTTAGGACGCTCGCCAGCCATGCACATGGTCCGGGGTTCGATCCCCGACAGACGCACTCCTTTACCTCGCCAAACAAGTAAAATAAAGCCGGTAAGAGGAAAGGTTGGGCATGAGGCTGGCTAGCAACCTCATCCTGTAAAAGTAAAACACTGCTACAGAAACTTCAAGCCTCTAGCTTGAAGCTCCACAGGGAACGTGAAGGAAAAAAGAAAAGAAACTTACGTATAGGATAAGCCAGCGCCACATCATTTGACTGTGATACAAACATCGCGACAATAGCAGCTATGCCTAGATGACAACGTCGACTAATCAAAAAGGTGAATATCATTGCCATTAAAAAGGCAATCAATTTGCTAATAGATACAGCTAAAACGAACAGCCAACAAACTCCAGCAAAATTCATTGTCACCATAGCCTAAAAGCAAAGGAAATACACATTACAATAATACAACGACATGAGGGTGTAAAAGGTAAGCATATTATGTTGTTACAACTAGAATAAGATGTGAAAATTGAAATGCTTCTAGTTATAAAATATATGGTCACATGCATTACAGAGATATGGTTGATTGGTTTAGACACTCAGCTTTTAAAGCAATAGATACTGAACAAGGAATACTCTTTTCGATAACCTCTTCTTCATCCCGCTCTACAGTTATATATACATTATAGTGAATGAATGAATTAGTGTTATTACCAGCATTAATGTTGTTTAAATAAAATCGAATCAGTAATATTAATAGATTACAGTTCCGTAGCATCAAAATAACAACAAACTGAATGTCAGAAAAATTAAGAAAGATAATATTACAAATTCATGAATTTATAGTCTCTACTGAAGGCCGGCCAGGGCAGTGGTAGTGGATGGCTGGACTTGTTTCTTTTGAACGCAGAGCACTGGTTGTTTGAGGCGAATTGCAATAGCCCCTACTGTTTGAAGCATGCGGTGCTTCGATGATTTTGGCAATTTATTAGTCACCCGGTAGACTGTAGAGAAGGATTCTTCAACGCTGGCTTTGTGGCCGGTTTGCACCAAATCGAACTATTAATGGTCTTCACTATACCTTTACTAAACCATAGTGGGAGGGTTTTCCCGTACACGAAAAATCAAGTTCCTAGAGCAACGGCCAATATAACTCGCTCCACAAGCGCAGTTGAATTGGTAGATACAGATGGAAGTGGCTACTATAGGTACTTTATCTTTCAGCCGAGGTAGCACCATCGGTCGTGTAGAGAATAAGACGGGTAGTTCGCCAGCATTAAAAGTTATTTGAACTGATTTTCTAAATTTCCCTATAATTATCTCACTTGGTATATCGCCCTTGAATTGCAGTTGTGGCTTCTTGTATACAGATAGTGAGTAGTCCTTTTCCGCTTTCTTTGTCATGTGTTTCTTGATAAATTTGTCGGGATAGCTTTAGCCAATGCATCACGAGTTCGACTCATGTCGCAGCTTTATCTACTTTAAAGGGGGACAACGGGATAGTATCACCAGCCTTCACATAATACGTGTGCAACTCTTAACCTGGTACATGCAATATCTGTTTAAACAGACAAATATGTATAAAATATTCTTTGTGAAAATCTTTCAACAATCAGATTAATTCATGAATAATTCCCATCCAGGCATTAATGAAAACAGAACACTTAGTTAATATATGTGTAAAACTTGGGCACTGCGGTGATAGTAAGAAATTCCATATTAGTTTGTTTATTAGATATATCACACACAGTGAGTGAAACAGTATCATTATTTACTGGATGACAAGGTTTCGAAAACAATTTATTGCCGTTCCTAGTCATATCAATTAACAAATTCTTAAGAATTAAAACATAGATTAGATAATTTAAAATTAGATAATGAAGAAAACAAATGGTTAGTTTTGACACTGTCAATTTATGTACACGTATACCGATAGTAAATATGGCTACAGAAGCAGTCAGAAACGAACTCATTTCTGTCCAAGAATTCCAACTTAGAACGAAAGTGCCACTTGAGGACACAATGCCGGGAGTGCAGCTATTCCCGACTTCTACAGTATTTAAATTCCAAGGGAAAATATACAAACAAACTGAGGGAGTTGCCATGGGGTCACCAATATCCTCAGTTGTGGCAGATATATTCATGGATAGGTTGGAAAACATAGCGACTGTAACGTTCAGCCCCAACCCGAAAGTATGGTGGAGGTATGTAGGTGAAACATTCACTGTACTTAGAACACAGGGTTAAGATAGATTTTTCGAACACATTAACTGAAAGTTGGAGGCAATTCAATTCACTTATGGATTGGAAAGTCAGGAAGGGGAGCTTCAATGTTCGATTGTAACTTAAAAAAATAGGATTGGTGAAATGTTTAGGAAATAGAGCACATAAAACTTAGTAGTACCAAGGAAAATCTCAGACAGGAAATGAGGTATACAAGAGAAGCTTTGAAACTTAATAATTACCCTGATAAATTAGTCAGAAAGTATGTAGGAAAATGTCAAAATAAAATATATAATAATAGAAGTGATAGTGATAATAATAATAATATTAGTGACGATATGCATGTCAAACATGCCCAGGATAATGACAACACCAAAAATAAGGAATTTAAATCATCAGTGGTAATTCCATAGACAGAAGGAACCTCGGAAACCTTACGGCAGAGAATTCTTAACAATGCAGGAATAAAAGTGGCATTCAAACCCACAAACTCAATTGGAAACAAGCTTTGTCGGTTAAAAGATCCTATGGAAACTTTAAAACAAAACAATTTAGTTTTTCTAATACCCTGCTGGGATGATTTTCAGGTCAAATACATAGGTGAAAGTAGTAAAACAGGTGCAGCCAGTCAGACTAGCCGAGCACAAAAACCTGGCAAAATCTAGATTTTGAGCGAACAATTGTTTTCGATAACTTCTTCTTCAGGCTCTACAGTTATAAATCCATGAATAATAAGGTACATATAGCCAATAAAGGCAAATGAAAATAATATCAGAAACTGTATTGGGGTGCATGTGTAAGTTGAGGTGATAGTCCATTAGTTAACATAGTCAATCAAATGTGTATAGGGTGTATAGTCAGAAAAATGTGATGAAGTGTGAATGAACAATTGGGTGATATAGTGTTGTTTTATAGTCATCAGAATACAAGTGTCATTGGGGTGAGAGAAATGCGATAGACACAAAATGCACACAAACACACATTATATAGGTCGTACCCAAAGGAATTTATCTTTACGCACCCGTGAACATATCCCGGTCTGGCTTGGGAAAAGAGCGACCAAATCATTAAATAGTGCAATCCTGGCTCATCTAGTGGATAGCTTAGCTTAGCTTTGCTTCGGCTATCTCCTACGGAAGGATGAGCCGGCTTCATGAACTTCTCAAATCATCGCTACCCAGGCGCAGCGATCTGATGAAGAGAGTTTACGAAGTTTCATGGGAATTCGGTACGAGTGATGTCCCCAGAACCACTCGGCCTTTTGTTTAAGAGTGCAGCTCTAGCCTTTACACAACCAAGTGTGACCTACAAGGCAGTAGGAGTGGAATAGGGAGTCCACTATCCATTGGCAGCCGGTGACCGGAGTTCGGTTCATACGCCTTTTTGAATGGGGCCAGATATCCAGGACATCCAACAAGCCCTTTGTCCATACGTCTGCCGGTGAGCTTCAGTGAGCTTCATACGCCAGTCGTTGGAGGTTTGGAATCAGGGTTTAGCCATCTCCCCTAGACTGTCATCCAATGGACAGTCAACCCGGTGAAGAGCGCCGGGCATCCGCTTTCGCCCTCTCACTTTGGTGAAAAACACCTCCGCCACGTGAAGGCAGTGAGTAGGACTTCCTCAGGAGAGGCTATGTAAGACGCCCGGTCATATGGGAGCATTTCAAGAGGTGTGCGGAGGGGTGGCCAACCCGCAGCGCAAGGCACCCACCCCTGACCATCCTGAGGCTTTGGATAGCGAACACAGCATCAAAGTAGAAGAGTCATTTACAGTTGTGTATCGAGAACCAAACAACCTCCCCAAAGGCACACGATTACGCCTCCTAGCCATAGCTGAGGCCTTAGAGATTAATAGAGAAAGACCAGACTTATGTGTACAGAAAAAACTTATTCACTCCTTCTGTCTACCCTGGCCCACCATAAGGTCACCAGGATCATAATTTCCGTATTACTATTACCATTATTATCATTCTGTGATATCATGTCTTTATTATCCATTTCTTAACCCAGTTTATTTCACCTCATTGTTACCCTTAATTTTGTCAACCTTTGTGATTTTACACTAAGCCTACCAACTCTGTAACATCTTATTACAATTTACTATTCAGCCCCTTTATTTTATCATTAGACATTATCGGTCAGCCCTCACATTCAGTGTCCCCTATTATTCATGGATTTATAACTGTAGAGCCTGAAGAAGAAGTTATCGAAAACAATTGTTCGCTCAAAATCTTGTTTTGATTTCAATATGGGGATATTTCATTTACTAAAATCTAGATTGGTTGACCCCAACAAGATAAGAAATCTAGAGAAGAGTTCAGCTATACCACTCACTACATGCAATTACACACAACCATACAGCATAGGATGGGATGGGATAGGATGATAGTTTCAAAATCTACTGTCACAGGGTGGAGGGAGAGATTGATAACAGAAGCTTTGTTTATCGAATCAACTACAAATATATGTAATAGGAATGATTCAACACCTGTCCACCCAGATATCTGGAAAATTCTACTACCCCAACGACGACAAATAGCAAGAGAACAAAGAAAACTATAAAACTCAAGTTTCGAAGTTGTGTGATTATAATTGGCGATATGATTATGAACAGTGATAAATTTTGTTCGAAACATCATCCAGTAAATAGTTATATCGTTTCACTGTGTAATATATCTAATAAACAAACTAATGAGGGAAAGCACGTAGTTCAGCGGAGAGGTTGTTTTCGCTGGATTCATCTTCCCCTTTAGCTGTACAAGCGCGTCTACACAAACTTTTTATTCATGGAAGAGGTTGGAAAGAAAAGTGATGAGTTGTCACAATCATCATAGTTGTTAATATTACTTAATCGATAAAAGGACTTGAATAACAGTGTTAGAAGTATGCAACAAGATGAGTAATTCAATGAATGTGTATCCTGATTACAACTCACTCATTAAATTATTCATCTTATTTTTTTTTCTTATTACGTAACTCTAATGCACTTATTCATCTTCTCTTATGCTCTGACTAATATTAACAACTATGATTGTGACAACTCATCACTTTTCTTACTAACCTCTTCAGTGAGAAAAAAATGGTATATATATATATATATATATATATTTGATTATAGCTTGATTTCACAGCTTATTTTAGATATAAGTATGGAATTTTCAGCATGGATATCGGTATCCCAATTTTTGTAGGCCAACCATGGATATCGGGTGTGCGTCGGCAGGGGATCGAACCCCGAACCATGTGCATGGTCGGCGAGAGTCCTAACAGCTGTGCTACCGACGCACTCAGCTAAAGAGGAAAACGAATCCTCCACGAAAAGAGCCTCTTCGCTGGACTACGTGTTTTGTTCTCATAAATCGGATTAACATCGATCAGAACCTATATATGGACACACAAACACATACATACACACAGAGTTTATGACATTAGATGTAAGATGTGTTTATATTAAACTCAAGACAACATCAGATAAAGTTTAAGCTGACGATATGCAGTGATTGTAATACTGCAGACTATTTATACGCTTGTGATGACGTCTTAATGTTACCAAGAAATCGACGCATCAATAAAAAAGAGATAAACTGGTATGGCTTATCTATTACACTATTAAAACCAGATTTATCAAGGCGATAAGATTTTGAATGGAAATCCATCTGCAAGTATAAAAGAAGAGCATATTTTTACACTAATGATCAATTTTAGTAGAACAGCTGTTAACTTCTGTTGAATTCAGTTGACAACGTTGTGACACTATAGTGGCTAGGCATAGGCAACACATGTTCTAACCATCTCAGTCAATGTAGCTTCACAGCCTCGTCGACTGATTTCCCCTTCCACCTACCTAGCACTCGACACCTAACCTCAATATTGCTCGCCCTATTATACCACTTCACACGGGAGATAGAACGCAGGCACCTATGATCGAAGACAGCTAGCTAGGCGTTTCATATTTTCCGCTCTCAATGGTCAGGTCTCCCATCCATAACGGAGGACGGAGCGGACTTCTGAGCAGTACACCCGCCCTTTAGTCGGTAGCCAGGTGGATATCACGTCTACGTCAGAGGCTGTGTAAACTGGCATATGCGAAACTAGCCCTCTGTATCCGTTCTGAGATTTCATCAGCGATCAACCATGGTATAGGCAGCTGGGAATTGATAACCGCCCATACAAATTCCATGAGTACATAAAGCTCTCCAAATAAAACATACATCATCATAACAAAACAACTTTCTGATAGACCAGTAGACACATGTTAGGGAAACCAATAAAAACTAAATGATATATCAACAAAGAAAACGTCAACAGACAAAACAATCTCTAATATGAGTGAAAAAACTACTTAACATCATTATAAAGATTAACTTACTCGGAAAAATACTGAAGGCAAAGCAAATTTGGTGACGTATGAACCAAGTCCTTTAGCTTGGGATTCAGGAAGGATTCTCCAACGGCCAGCAAGATATCCCAGGAAAATAACACCGAAACATTGAACCAACGCTGGAACTAACTCATCTAGTACTTCCTCTGAATTGGAACTTGCTGGATTTGTTGGGGTATAATAATGTGACGTTGAATTTGTTTGCATGGTTCTAACATAAAAGACAGACAAATGAAACGAAGTAATGTACAATACAGATTTGTAACTTATAATTAGAATAAAATAATGATTAATGTTTGCGACGTTAGAATGAATACAAGACTCCGTTAATGAACTATTATAAAATGCTCTGTAAAATCAAGTAGAAAAATTGACATAAATGTAATCTACAATTGTAAACCGAAGTTGATTGACAACAATACTAAAGTACAGTCTCGAATACCCTCTGATTCGTTGCACATACCGCATACTGAAAACTACCACAATGTTATTTCAGTTTAAGGGTGATTTATAGACGAATTACTAGGAAGCATATAACTAATATGGTAGGACAATTATAATTCGTCTTTTTAAAAAAATTCAGAGACTATGGGGGTAACTGCTTACATTTCATAAGGTAAATTATAACCATCAACAATAGTTCAGATTATAATCGTTACATAACTAATATAAATTTTAACAAAAACTCCTTGGCGGATATAATATACATTCCACTTACGGTGATTTTTCAAATGTCTCCAACCCAGGCCAGGTTACCCAGGGACTAGAAGGATGTAGTCATAAGCCCCATCTTCAAAGAGGAGAACAGGCAGTTAGTATCTACCTACCAGCCTGTAAGTTTGTCCTGCATTAAAGCAAAGATATTAGAAACACTCGTAGGGGATCAGCTCCTAGCTCATATGAAGAAACATGGCTTACTGGCGGTGGAACAACATGGATTCCGACCAGGACGATCCTCACTGGCGAACTTACTGTTAGCTAGGGAAGATTGGATCGAAGTCAGGGATAAGAACCATCCATTGGATGTTGTCTTTATCGATATGAGTAAAGCATTCGATAAGGCATCCCACTTAGGTCTTCCTAGTAAACTCAAACGTCTTGGATTAGACCATCGCTTATGCGAGTGGTTTAGTGACTATCTGATGGATAGGAGGCAGAAGGTAAAGGTTAATGGTTTACTGTCAGGGTAGAAAGCAGTACTAAATGGAATACCCCAGGGAACTGTACTTGGCTTCCTACTATTCCTATTATACGTAAATGAAGTGCAGAAAATTTTTAATTCATCTTCCTTATTATTTGCGGATAATATTAGGATATGGAAAGCCGTAAATAATAACGACGATAGGTTGGTACTACAAAACGATCTAGATGAATTGCTGAGTGGGCTAACCTCTGGATTTTGGGAATTAATTTAAAGAGAAGCGCGGCAATGCACCTAGGTCAGAGGTCTTACACGTTGTACTCCCTGGAGGACACAGAACTGCCAGATATTAAGGGGCAAAAGGACTTATTGAGAGCCATGACTTAAAAACAACGGTAAACTGATATAGTGCAGTGGCTATGGTTTTTCAAATGCTATGGCCACTTCGAAGGGCTTTCAAACGATTAGACTAGCGTATGTTGCAAGTACTCTATGCAACATATGTCAGACTTCACCTAGAATACCGCATACAAGCGGTGAGTCCATGCTTCAAAAAGGAGGCACATATCCTGGAGACAGTGCAGAGGGCAGGAACCAAATTAGTTGGTGATATCTCACCTCTTCCTTATAACAAAAGGATGGAGCATTTAAATCTCTTTCCATTATCATAACGTAAGTGAAAGGCGACTTAATTTTGGCTTACCGTATATTAAAGGGTGATTTAGGGATTGACCTTTCAAACCTTTACTCTCCCTCTGGTATAAAATTACGAGGTCACCACAAGAAGGTCCTCAAACCAATGTCAAATAAAATACGTGTGGAATTTAGATTCTCTCACGAAGTGGTCAACGACTGGAACTCTACTTGATTCAGTATTAACAGCTCCATCGGTGAACGCTTTCAAAGAGAAGCTAGATCTTCGTAGAGATATATATTGCGAGGATTAACATAGGCAACAAGAGCCTTCTATCCTTATAATCTGAATCTGTTTACGGGTGGAACAACCAAAAGCCTCAAAAAGTATTCATGCAGCACATCATGGCTTTTACCGTGGAGTTTATCACAAACAAGTTACAGCAAATCTGTCGAAAAATAAGGAATTTCATTTCACAGCAGTAAGACAACCTTCACACAAATAAGTCTCGGACAACACTGTATCCTTGGGTATTGCTTAAACGCACATAATTCTCGAAATATTTTCCCTTAACCACCTACGCATAAAGGAATTTTGATTAACTCTACATTCCACATTATGTTAATCTGTCAATCTGCATGCTAGTACACATTTAATATATCACTATTGATCACATAATAAGTGTAGCTCAACGCCAAGTATATTCAAATGCAAGTGTATTGATGGATAAATGATTGAGATCTGTTTGCTCATTTGTATTCTGGTAAAAACGGCAAGCATATGTGACAACCTAGTGCATTATCCTAAATTTGTTGGTTACTCCTATCTCTGTCACAACCACTAATCGTGGATTTACTAATTTTTGCGTGTGTTTGCCTAATAAATATATAAACTAGATACACTTGTACGATTTTGGCGGTCTGAACTCTGGTCGCCATGATAATATTAAGTTACTACTACAACCCTTGCTGTAGTTCTAAATGCGCAAAAACTATCTCTTCATCGGATCAGAGAAACAACACGCACATACATTAGATATTGCTAGTCCTTACATTATATCATATCATAAGTGAAAAATGCATAATTTTGGTGTAAATTGTCAGACCACAGTACTATAAGAGCATTTCTGGAGGAGAAGCGGACGGTGACCATATGAATATGGTTATCTTTACTTCCTAACAAGAACTTCTCTGAAATTTGTCGAAGTAAAACTGCCTCCCGCGTGGGACAACCCTCCTCTCCAATTTTAGTGTTTAATACTGATGGACGTGAACGTAATACGGCATTGATATATTTATATTCAGTGAGTTATATAAATTTATATATAGACAATTACAAAATTCACAGCTAATTTCTGATATTTGAACAACGGAACAAAGATTATGGAACCTTCAAAGAAACACAACCATATGACTTGACAGGATTAAGCCTGAACACGAAAAAGACTCACTTAAATTACGCGATAACCTTTCTCCTTAAGTCGCTGTAGCACACAACCTTTGAAAGAGGTTTGTCTTACGTCTATTTCTCCTTCTTCTAGCTCATCAAAACCATATAACTGATCGTAACAACTTTGACTTAAGCAACGGCGTATGCATTTAGTGTGTTCAAGTAGGGATATCCTATTGTCATCAGAAGAACATACGCCAGTGCAATTTTCTGTAGCTCTCTGATATAACTGCTCGTTTGTCGCTTTGCGTTTGTACTGATAAACTGGATATTTGAAATATGACCTTCCCCAGCATTCACTGAGCAGCAAAACCACGACGAAATGAATAACAGTTGACATACGCGGAAATATAGCACTCACCTACAAAAGGTTGACCTGAAAAATTAAAACAAATTTTTCTGATCACCTTGATAAACCTGACTGCTCTGACTATTAATATTGAGTCTTACTGACTGGACACAAGCCACTACGGTGCTCAGATTTTAAGCACTACATATTGTTCCCACATGCTAGTATGAATCAAGTAAGTCACTTCGTGACCGCTTCTTTGCAGTGAGAGAGAGACACCTGATAGTCTGTGAAAAGTCCAGTCGTCCGATTCCGTGGTCACCATTAAGAGAGTCACGTTATCAAAAACCTACTCCCACTGATATCAGCATTTTTAGTCACGCAGCCTACATCCTATGCCTGGCGTAAGTTAACAGTCTAAGATTTTTTGTAATGGTGAAACATTTTGGATCAACCACCCAAACGCTTTTCTCGAACTATTCCTATGTCAGCTAACACTGTCAAGGAGGATGGCAACTGGTATGTGTGCAGCTGCACAGACATATTATGATTTTACCACCTTACTCAGGATTCTACTTCCAACTGTTTATACTGTCAAAGAAAGGATATTGAACTAAGACAGACTTCTAGCTTCCTCATATTTCTACATCCATTGACGCACAGCCGACGGTATTCCCTCTATCTGTACATCTTGGTCTTTTCATGATAGCGAATTTATGGAGTCACCCCTGACTCGGTGATAACTAAGAGTACATAGGTTCAGAAGTGATATGCGTGTGTAGTCGTGTGTAATTTTTTTCTGTCTCGTAAACTACTAAGTTTTTAGCATTCTCAAGATTACCATGCATCTCATCACTATGGATTCTGACTAACGCAATTCGCTTGAGGGAAGGGTCAGTGGACTAACAGATTGCAGCGGTCAGTAGGTAGTTACGTTACTGGTTCATCCTCGTAGAATAGTCACCTCCAGCATGACCACCTAGATGATCAGTTAGCTTCTTAAATGCCTGCTACTACTTATATGTACACAAACTTAATTCAATAACCATTTTGTTCTACACACCAATACTGTTCGGTATATCTTTGTCCGTCCTTGGAGGACAGTCGTCTTTGTGTTATCTTTGTATGATTTTTTTATTCCTCTATATCTTAGAAACACGAAGTTTTATCTAAGTTTCAAATATAGTGAGGCCCAAACTCTGTACCGTAAGTGCTGATAGTAAGGACGAAATGTCTGTAGGCGAATTTAATCCTACAAAGTTTGGAACAATATGTCATACGATGAAATGTCCAATCCCACACCAAGGTCATCTCTACAGTCGGAAAGGAATGATAAATCTGATATGACTGAATTGATAAGTATAAATCAAACTGTATGATGGAGCTAGAACAGGTAAAAGTGCACACTGTCCAAATCAAAAAGAAAATTGAGTTAGGAATATTTTGACAGGCAGGCCGTGAATGTTTCGATTATGAGAAGTCGTTCAATAAATTTTCCTCCTCTCCTGCATTTGGTGTGTTTCCTGATGACAGATTTTCCAGAACCATGTCTACGTTTTTGAACAAGCCTGAAAAAGTTTGATGGCAACCCTATAGATTAATGGAATTTTATGGAAAATTTTGAAGACTAGGTGAAAAAAGATGCTACCAGACATCGGGCTAAATTAAATTAGAACAAGATGATTTGGAACGAACAACTGTATTCGATAAATTCTTCCTCAGGCTCTGCAGTTATAAATTTATGAATTTTATAATACAAATAGACATTAAAGGCATGTGAAAATTATATTGGAAACTATTGGGGTACATGCATAATATGGTTTCTAATGTAATTTTCGCAAACCCTTAATAGATATTTGTTTCATGATATTCATGGATTTACAACTTCAGAGCCTGGGGAAGAATTTAGCGAATATATTTCCGCCACAATGACTACACTTTTAGTTTCACCTAAGAAACATAACCTCAGAAATAAATCTTCATCTTTTAAAGTGACTCGCTAACATACAAAATACAGATCAAATTTCTTCACTGTGAAATACCGTTGTATTTGGAACCATCTTCCAAATGAAATTAGAAATAGTTCTACCACAAAAAGTCTTCTCATCTCTATTACATATATTATTATTGTTCCCTTGGGTTCCTAGTGGAACATAGGGCTTCAACTGCACGTCTCCACTTGCTTCTGTCTTCTGCTGTACTTTTCAACTGCATCCATGTTGGTCCATACTGTTTCAACTCTTATTCACACGATCTCGTCCATGTCACCCTTGGAAGTCCCAATCGCCGCTTCCCTTTCGGGTTCCACTCAACGGTCTGACACGCGATGTCACCCAACGACCTCCTCAGCGAGTGTCCAATCCATCTCCACTTTCTCCTGCATATTTGTTAGGCGATTGGTTATGTTTTGTTTGTTCCGATAGTTTCTTGTTGGTGATTCCTTCCGGCCATCTGATCTTCAGTATAGAGCGAAGACAGTTGTTGTTGATAAAGGTCTGCAACAGGCTGTTGGAAATAAATATTCTTTGTGACCCGCCAAGTTTCTGATCCGTATAGCAAAACTGACTTGACGTTTGTATTGAAAATCCGAATTTCGTTGTTGATGCTGAGTTGAGTGACGAAGATTTCCAGATTGGTTTCAGGTTGATGAATGTGTTTCTCGCCTTACCGATTCTCGATTTGACATCTTCGTCCATTCCTCCTGTAGTTGAGACAATGCTCCCTAGATAAGTGAATGAAGTAACCTCTTTCAGATCCCTCCCGCTGATGGTGATTGGCACTGGATGTTGCTGCTGCTGCTCTTGTTGTTGGTTGGTTATTTTCATAACTTCCATCTTGTCTATATTCACCTGGAGTCCTGTCTTTGCTGCTTCTTCAACCAGTTTGTCGGTTTTCGCTTGTAAGTCTTCGATTTTGTGTGACATCAAACATAAATCATCCGCGAAATCCAGGTCTTCTAGATTCTTCACGTCGGTCCAGGATTTCCCTGTCTTCTCGTTTCCCACTGTCTGACGCATAATCCAGTCCACCACAATTAGGAATATCATTGGTGATAATAAGCACACTTTTCTGACTCCTATGTTCACTCCAAACGCTTCGCTGAGTTTTCCGTTGTGGATCAATTGACTTGTGCTGTTGTCGTACAGCTGTTGAATAAGGTTGATGAATATTTGGGGTACACCGTAGTACTCGAGTAGTTTCCAAATTACTTCGCGGTCAACGCTGTCGAAGGCCTTCTCAAAGTCTATAAAGTTGAGGTAGAGATTTGATTGCCATTCCGTGCTTTGTTGGATGATGATGCGTAGAGTTTCAATTTGATCGGAACATGATTTACCTTTCCTGAACCCAGCTTGTTCTGATCGAAGTTCTGAATCCAGTGCGTCGTTTATTCTCTCCAGGATGATGTGACTCAGAATTTTACTTGGCGTCGACAGGAGCGTAATTCCTTGCATCTCATCTCTGATTGATCGGTGGCACAGTGGTTAGGACTCTCGGCGACCATGCACATGGTCCGGGGTTCGATCCCCTGCCGGCGCACACCCGATATCTATGGTCAGCCTGAATTTGGGCTACCGATATCCATGCTGAAAATTCCATACTTGTACTGAGAATACGGTGTGGAATCAAGCTGTAAATAAAAAAAAATAAATAAAAAAATTAAATAAAAAAATAAAAATATTTTATCCACAATGGGTTAGAAGCAGTATGTGACAAACTAAAAATTAGAGATCTTACATGGCATTCCTCTGACCCTCACTGTTAACTCCCGAAATCTGTGTACTTTATCTTTAACTCTATTTTCACTATGATTGTTTTCACAACCCAAGTCACCTATTCACATTCGGTTTTTAATTTTGATTATTTCTTCAATCAGGTATTTTTCCATATATCCCTGACGAAATTGTATTATGAGCACTTCGGTGTGCTAAGAGTTCACTCTTAAGTTCCAGTAGTAAATCACCTGAAGACGTCTGGTAATAAAATGTCTCTGGAGATTGTCTGATACTGTAGGTAAGCACTGTCTGTCCAGCCTAAATGGTGATAGTCTAAATAATCAACCATACGGTGAGTCTTAAATATTAATGAATCTTATCCTACTATTCTATGACTATAATCCTGTGTGGTCACATTTTTCGGAATAATATATTTTAACTTACTACTTTTTATGTATACAATGCTGCACCATTATGCACCGTTTTTCGTAATTACATTTATTTATATCTAAAATGTAGACCATGACTGTCTAATTTCTTTACATTTTTATTATTTTTCTCCAAATTGCTGTAACAGATGAAAGATACATGATGGTCATCTGAAATTAGTCACTCATACCATGGCTTTGAATAAGTTGGCGAATAAATATTCAAAAACGTCTGTGTGGTATATAATAACAGAAATTAAAAAAGAAGCATTTTACCAAGGCCTTGCACATAAAAAGGTGGGAGGGTGCTGACTGCTATTCAGTAAATATAATGGTGGGGCATATCAGAACCACCCTTATCTGTGGGACAGTACTCTATTGCTAAGGCTCCTGAGTTCGAATGACTTCTTCAAAATAAGTGTACAACTAAAGAAGAAATAGAGGTTAAAAGCTGTCTGAAAGCCGGTGTTTAAATATAAACTCCCTGAATGCAAGTACATGGTGTAAGTTCGCTACTACAGAACCTAACTGCACTAGACTTAATCTTCTGCCACAATATAAGTCCCCTTTCTACCCTAGTAGGTTCTAAGTTTTCAGGGAGTGGCCGCAAAAACAGTGCTGTGTACACTGCTACTTCCGTCAAGTAACAATGTAGCCCATACCCCTACTTCACAACAAATAACTTACAGGAACTACAGTAAGGCAGACTGGACTCAAGTGAAATCAATGCTAAGATCCTCAGAATGGAATGATTACTTCTATACTGATAGCCTCTCGAAAGCTCTAGACATCTTTTACTATAACTCCAACACATGCTTAGATGCTGTCATACCACTTCAAACACTAATTTTTTCCCCACACAGAAAGACATTCATAAAGCTAAAGGATCGTAGGAAACTGAAGAGACTGTCAACAAGTTACTTCA